TCAATGGATCTAAATTTTTTTCCTTATTAAAAATAATAATAATAATAATTAAAATATATAGATATATATTAAGTCAGATCGTCTGTGAATAATTTAAAATAAGAAAAAAATTACCTTTGGCGTAGCATCTGGATCGATTGAACCAGTTTCATGTGTAATCGGTTGAATTAGGGGCTGCGTTGCCATTTTTCATAAATATTAATTGTTTATTATAATAATAAAGAACACTGTGTTCATCACTGTCTGTTAAGTTTTTTATAACATTTATTTTAACCGAACACATTGAATAATGCATTTTTATTTTACAATGTAATATTAAGTAATCTAAGTAATTAAAATAAACGAATTATTTTATTTTTATCATTCTTTATATCTTTTTTTAAATTCATTTTATTTCATATCAATCATTTGACTTTAATCAATTAATTATGTTTGTGAGTTTATAAAGATAATTTATTACATGCACTTCCGATCATGACATAAGTAACAGAAATACATGATTTATCGGTTGTTTTGTATTGTGTTCAAGTACAGAACAAGTTTGTAATCACAATTTGTTAGCTATTAGTTACTTAGAATGCCATTTGAGAATTCTCTCACTGAGGGAACTAAACTGTCACTCAACTCTCTTCCTCTCTCCCTCCCTCTCTCTCTCTCTCTCTTTCTGCTTTCAATTGCTACAATCCTATTATTTCTATTACTCTATATGTCCATAACACTGTCGGTTGCTTTCATTGTTTCACTTTAATAGATACCTATCCATTTGAATTGCCAACTTACTCCCTTTGCACTCTAACTGCTTAATTCTCTTACTCCCATTATTAAAATTTTGTTCAAATCATCTCTGAAATGATTAACAAGTTATTGCGTTATAATTGATTTCAAGGTATTCGAGGGCTAAGTTGGGATACTTGCCACCCCTTGAAATCAAAATCGATATTTATATTTTATTTTTCTCTGATCAAATCAATGTTTTATGTTTAGATTATTTCTTTAAAACATGCAGCCATTAAATTTATTATTATAAAATAAGATAAAAGTATTTATTTATATATTTTTTCTTTCTACATGATTTTATTATTTTATTAAAAATATTGTAAAGCTCAATGGGTTTATGTAAACTTCTCAATAGAATTCATGAAATTAAATTAATGATATTTATGAATTAATGAATATAATTATAATAAATTTATTTCATTTAGAATATTTACTGTGATCAGGTAATTAATATAGTTAGGTTCAGTCAAATGCTTTGATATAGTCAAAAATAAAAATATGTTTGAAATTCTGAATATTAAATGAACGAAATTTTTGAACAGTGATTTATGTTGGTCATGGTGGAAAAAGAATTTATCTGAATGGATATAAAATAAATGTACTCTGTTATAATAATTGTAGTTCATTTTGTATGGGATTTATATTTGTAAAGTGAGTTTCACTTTGTGTGAATACATCACACTTTTGTACTGATTATATTAGGGGAGAGTAGGGTAAAATAGACCCATGATTCAAAATGAATCTTTTTAAAAATTGAAGTTTTTAAACTGTTTGTAATACAATTAACACCTCTGCATCTACACAGATTAATACAATTCTCAAACAGACTGTTTTATCTCAATAAATTAAATCTATCACTATTATTCAAACAAATCATTGATTTTATTAAATCGCACTAAATTTTTATTTTTAATATATAGAGAGAAATTTTTTGCTTATTGTACGTACAAATATTTCAATTGTACTTTTTGATTGTAGAAGTATAATTAGTTTTATCCAACAGTAAAATTTTAATTTCCTTTTTTTTTTCTTCAGAAACAAACTCTTGCGATTCAAGGTTTGAACACTACTGTTTCATTCATCTTTATTTAACTAATTTTTAAATAGTGAAAAAGTATTATTAATACTATTTAAATATATGTGATTGAACTTGAAACTACGTGAGTACTGAAAGTAATTATTTTATTACAAAATTTTATAATAAATCAAATTAATTTATGAAAACTCAAAATAAACTGTTAGAAAAAAATATTTTTACTTTGATAATTAAAAATAATTAAATCATTTTTTTTTCATTTATCATTACTAAAAAAAATTTTCTCTATATATTGTTTGCTATTCAATGAAGAATTAATATCTACACTCGAAAGTCTCCTAATTAACAACATTAAATATGTAAAAAACAGATAATTAAATATTTATATGTAAAAACTAAGTAGTTTTTAATAATTTAATGAATAAGATATTTTTTCGAGATATTTTTGTAGACAAAACCTTAAAGAAATAAATTATTTGATAATGAGATAAGTTTAGGCATAAAAAAACACATATTTCTCGAAATTTAAAGATATTTAAATTGTTCAATATTAATAATAATAATAATAATAAATAGTTAATTAATTATTGCTACTATTGTTGTATTAATTTTTGTATTATTGTTATTGTTGCAAGATTATTGTTAGTAACAGAAATGTCACATGAGACCTTAAAGAGTTAAAAAAATACTTAAAATGTCATTCTAACACATTCAAAAAATTATCTTCCATTATATTTATGCAATTAGTCAAGTACCCCAACTTTAATCTAATGTGGCATTTTTTCCTGAAGCTCTAGTGTGAGTGTTCTGAATAGAACGGATGGGTTTTATCCGGATGACCTGAGTGACAATATTGTGTGGGTGCTTGAGTGAGAATGAAAGGGATGAGTGATAAGAAAAGAGCGACAGTCGTTGAACGATATTTTTTGAAAATAAGAAGCTTCTTCATTACTTATGTTACAACTATCATTGATCATTTTTTTTGTAGTTAAATAAATAAAAAATTGAAATGACCAAATCTACTGTCCTGTTTTAAAACTGCTGTTAAACAAAAATATCAAGTAATTATAAATAAATTTGTAGTCCAAAGTTCTTAATGGTATTACATACTTTTTATAATCTGGTTATTGGATTGACAATATGTCCATTTACTTTATCGTCCATCTTTTCTATTCCTTTTGTCTTGTGTCCCAGTTTTAGTTCAGTATTACATTCGCACCCCAATTGAAAACTATTTTGTTTTCCAATTGATCATGTATTTTTTTTTTTTTACAACATTCGAGTACATCGAAAATTCTATTTCGTTTTGTTCGAGAGAATAAACTTTTACTATGATAATTCTTATGTGTGTATCGAATGTATATGTATAAATAAAGATTTCCTCTTGTGCATTTATTATACTTATTGTACCCAATTGCAGACAATTTCCTGTTTGAAATTTTTTCGTTTCGAATATTCAAATATTCTTGTTATCGAATAAAAATTTACCTTTGACAATAAAAAAGAATTGGTTTTGTGTTATGTTATTTGAGTTTGATTTTCTAATACTGATTTTAACACGAGAGCATAGCAAATATTATGATTTTAATAAGTAAAATATAAAAAACTGTCCTGTTTTACATGATATTATTAACATAACAGTAAGAAAATAATTACTTCTATCTTCCTGTTTTATTGTATGAAATAAAATAATTATTTAAATAACATCAACATTGTGTAGATCAAATAAAGATATGGCTCACAGAGATGATTGTTAATTGATAATTTTAAAAATTATCATTTTGATACAAAATGAGATCGATTGTTGTGTTATTATATTGTTGAAGATAAAAATTAATTATGACAGGTACAAAGTCTCGTGGCAAGAAGGAAACATGTAAATATATTTACTCATCGAAATACAAAAACATGTCAATTATTTAAATAATTAATTTCAAGTCGAAGTTCGATGTGGTATTTTATTTATTTATATAGAAATTTTGATTGAAAAATAATGATAAAAATATCAAAATTGAATAAATTTTTAAACTAAAATGACAGACTAGTGTGTATCAAAGTAAAATTTACAATTTCTTTCTCTCTATTATCACCCGAGTCAGGACTACTATTTATATTTACTAAACAAAGAATAAATATAAAATTTTAATTTCTGTCAACCCTACCTTTTTTCTAATCAAAGCTTTGCAATGTTAAATTAATTCTGCACATTTTAGGTGACAATCATCACCTCTTTTTGGCTCCAATTTACACCTTGACACTTATTATAATACCTATTCTACAAACTAACTACCAACTCTCAAACAATTATTTTCAAATAAAAATATTTTTTAAATCTAAAGAATACTAAATAATTTTTATTAAATAAAGTAATTTAAAAATTGAAAAAAAAATAGTGGAATATTCAATAATTTACGTTTGTTGGACAATGAAACAATTTTATAAATAATTCATACCAATTTGTATAAATTAACTGTAAACAAATATTAATTTAAAAATAAATTAATTTTTTTTTAAATTAATCCAACAAAAACACTTGTTAATTGTTCAATGTATGTGACAATTTTCCAATAAAATATTTTTGTCTTGGAAAAACTTTACAAAATTGGTACAGAAAAAGAATTAATCAAAAATAAATGTTGATAAATATTTCGATGATAAAAATTAATTTTCTAATCTAAAGAATTAAATGCATTTCTCATCACAATAAACTTGCCTCTACTAAAACATTTCAGTGAACTACCCAATAAAGAAATTGGTAAATATATTAAGACTGTTAGAGATGAGCATGGAAACTAAAGATTTTAAGACAGGAGTAAGAGAAAAAGCACAAAAGATTGAACAAGATAGGGAGGATTGTATTAGCAGTAAAATCACGTCCGTCGTTCAGATTTTAATGAATATGTCTGCTCAGATATATATCTCATGGGGCAATTCCGATTGTTCGCTTTTATACGTTTACACTATTTTAAAAATAAATTTAACATGGGATTATATTTCATTAAAATCACTTTACACACATTCTCCACTAAAACTAACAATACAATTTTAACATGCAATTTCATTGTTTTTATTATTATTATTATTATTATTTTTTCATTCAAGTTTTCTTTTTATTTTTCATTATCACTTTGAACTTAAATAAAAATACATTCTTTAACACTTCAAACAAATCAATCACTCAACTTACAATTGTGACAATAAATACACAGCTCTATCACTTTTGAAGAAAAATGCCAACATCAAAGACCAAAACACTCGATTCTTAAAATTCAGCATCGTGACTGAATCCCATCTATTAGCTGACTTTTAAGAATAATTAAAATGAGTTTTAATCGAGGTAAATACCTCTAGTGTTATTTCTTTTTATCAACATTTTTATTTCAATACTCACTTCATTTAACTACCGATAGATATTTTTTTTTCATTCTCACACTTATTATTTGTTTCTTTATAAATCGCGAATTATCTCGATAAAACATTATCGAAGGAATAAAATGATATTAATTTATTTCAATAATTTTATTAATTATTTCAAACACTTTAACTTCATTATTTCTCATTATTTTTTTGTTTCTCCAAAGAAATAACTATTTTTTTTTTTTTAAACTTTAATCAATAAAATAAATTCACATATTGTTTATAATCATAAACACGATCTAGTATTTGTTTTATAACCGGGAATGAAAACAAGATTTCGAGATAGGAGGAAAAAGAGACGAGTCATGACGAGCGTCTGCACTCAGCGACGCTTCCGACAGGACTGTGCTGCCTCTGACTTGATTTTGCTTCTTCGTTTCCCTTTTTCCACCCCTATCAGTGATCACTCCCTACTCCGTCTTCTACTACCACGCTTTATCCTTCTTCTCGAAATGTATCTTTGTCTTTATTCATTTTTTACTTTGTTTCACCCTATTTCTTTATAGTCGCATTTTTTAAAAAATATTTTAATGTTTTTAAATAAAAAAAAAAAAATTAACACTTGTCATACGTCTTTTTTTTTCTTTACTCTTTGCTAAATAACAAAAAAATATGAGAGATCTATTGTATCAGTATCTGTCATTTTTGGTATTATTACAATGGATTTTCAGTTTTTTTGACGTCTACAGTAATTGGTTGATAAATCTAGAGATTCTGAAGATGAAATAAATGTTCTCTAATAGAAAGAAGATTTTATATTGAATTTATTATTTATAAAAAAGTTTAATGAAATTAATTATTTCAAAAATTTTTATTAAATTATTAGATATTTTACTGATAAAGAATTTAAACATGATTGCGAAATTTTTCTCTATAATGACAACATTTGTTTTTGTCAATCCAGAAAATGATAATTTAAGTCGACAAAACTTTTTCCGACAGTGAGAAAACAAAGTTTTTTGATAAAGGACAAGGGAGATAACGTTATGTCACCTCAAATTTAATCAAAATGACAAATTAATTATAATCAAAAGTAAATTTACAATTTTATATTGACGAAGACGTATTACTTTTAAATTAATAATTAGTTTGGAAGGACCTTAACTGATGACAAACATCACTGAAGCACCAATGTCCGAAAATTAATTGATGGAACTTTCTCGACGAGTTAGATTCGATAGATCAAAATGGTAAACTTGGACAAGTTTACTGTAAATAAATGATGCATATGCAAATTTACAATTAAATAAACAATTGTTTGTAATAAAAATTCTGCCAAAAAATACGACAACTCTAAATTTACAGTTGAACTGAAATTTTTGTTTTTCTATTGTTCAAAAAGTGCTTTTAGTCTTTGTTATACTGAATCTCTACCAATAGCTAAAAAACTCGATCCAAAATGAATTTAAATATCAATAAAGCTTAACAAAAAGCTCAAGTATATAACTATAATTATATTGACTTAATAGTTTTTCAACTAATTAAAATTCAAATGAGTTACTGAGCTTCAGAATTTTGAATAAAATCGATATGATAGTTCATATTAAGGAGAAAAAATATTCCTGCATGCATGTTGCTAAATTATAATTTAGCAAATATTGTAAAAATTTTTTATACAATTATCTTTGTCTGTATTTAAATAATTACTCCATAAAATATAAATAAAGCATTTTCGTCATGTGCATTATCCTTAGTGATAATAAAAATTTTCAGTCTAATTTTATTTTCTATTTATTGAGATAATATTATCTGCAAAATTGGAATAGAGTAAATGAAACTTAGAATTATAAAGTTTAAAGTGTTGCAAACTTTCATCTTTTCTCTTAACTATTCAAGTTCAAGTAAACTAGAATATTGATTTTATCGCAACTATTATAAGAACTTTCGTCGACTGTACAAGTATTTCAACAGACAGCGTCTAAATGTCTGACCATGTGGGCCATGACCACTTTGGCGACAGCAAAGCCAGCTGAATCGATTTGATAAGTATAAATCAATATTTTTTTACTTTATTTCCTGGTTTTTCTTCCGTCTATCCTCTACCCACTATTAATTATACGTCTTAGCACAAGTGCATATATTGAATAATAATTAATTATTTGTTGCCTCTAATGTCGCCTATTCGAAATAATGTTAATGTTGGCTCAAGTCATTTTTTAACTTGGAAAATAATTATAATTAATATTTTTAAACGTTTTATTTTTAAAAACATTTTTTTTTTTTTGATACATAATAAAATAGTGATATAATACTTTTATTTAACTTTTTTATTGAATAATTAATTAATTTTTGCTATCTACGACATGTTGTCAATTATTAAACAAATAAGTAGTACACTCTCTGGAAATAAATTAATAAAAATTACTAAAAGAATAATTAATATTTACTAATTTATTAAAAAAATAATTATTAAACATCCTAAAAATATTAATATTTTATTTTTATAATTTTTTTTTATTATTGTTTACATATTTTAATTGAAAAGTATTGAAATCAAATATTATAAATATTTTTCATTTTATAATCAGTTAAAAAATTGAATGAAAATTAAATTAAAAATATTCCTGTTGTGATCATATTACATCATTATTATGGACAATTACTTCATGTCATTACGGAAATTGTTATATAAAATTATTGAAATTACTTTCATTCAATTTTATCGGTATTTTTTCATAAACTACTTTGATACTTTTTTATCTGATGAAAGCACTTATTTGAAAATGAACTTTAATTTTAAATAGTTTTGCAAATTCCATAAGTTTGACGGTAATAGAATTTTAGCTATAAACACTTTGAACAGATATTAGGTCAGAATCCATCAAAATTACATCATCGTGCATGATTACATAAACAAATTTGTCTTAAATAAAATTTTATCATTCTTTTGATGAAAAATAATTGATAAAAAATTTCACATCGTTTATTATCTAAAATTCAGCAGACTGAAACGACGATTAGAGCGTAATATTTTTTGAGAGGAGTCGAGGTTTTATTCGGTCTTTTTAATTGGTAGCCGGAAATTCAAGTGAGTAAACAGCCGAGAGCTTTCGTGGTTTGAAGAGAACGAAATTTCGAGAGGGAAATGAATAAAAAGTGAGCGTCAAAGTCCCTGTGGAAAATGGTGCACTTGAAGTTATATTCAAAACACGGTTTCATGTTATAGTGAAAAACTTGAGCTTGAAATGTTATAAGAATATGCCATCTCAATATACATACGTATTTATAAGACGCTATAACTGTTATCATAAATGTAATCGGTGCACGATTTCCCTATCTCTTTACCTTTGCAATCGAATCAGTGTCATTTTACGTGCAAACGTTGCTAACTTACTTACGAATTCATTGGTTGTCTTAAGGTATATGCGACAAACTTTCGTATCACCTATAAAACTTTAAATTTGGCAACTTACATCGACCATCGAATTACTCATTCTATCAATAAATGCTGAATAAGTGAAATCATTTTTTGACTTATATCTTTTTAAGTGTACGTGCATTCTAATTTTTGTGAGGTAAAAATTTTTAACAATCACAAAATGTAAAGGATGTAAAAATTGATTGAAATGATTTTTTACGAAATATTTAGACGGAGGAAATTTTCGGGTAAAAATTATCCCGAATAGATTTTTAACTTCAAAGAAGAGTCATTTTTACCCTACATGATGACATAGGTAGAAAATAAATTTATTACAAGTATTAATTTTGCTTCATTAATATTGTCCTCCATTAATTACTTTTGAACTTCAGTAAAAATATCATAAAAATAAAAAGCAACTGAATAATAATATTCTCAATTCATTAAATGAAAAAAATAAAAAAAATAAATAAAACATTTAAATCAATAACAGAAAAAAAAGCTCATTTTTGTGTTTTAGCAGATGCAGAAGTGGAACGAATTTTTTTTTTATCTGAATAGTTTTAATTGAAAATATAATATTTCCTATTTCAGTTCATCCGATGGAATTCTGAACAAATGTAATAAAGCACAAACACATGTTATTGAATCTGTAAAATTCATTTGATTTATCAAAAACAGCTAGGAACAAAAAACAATGAGATGGAAATTGAACTTTCACTTTCTTTCGATCTTGACCCTAATTACTGAGACACGAATTAAAAGTTTATATTCAATTGAGATAGTATCATAGTTGTATTAATTATAAACCCTCTTATACACCTGGTTAATGAAATATTCGAAACCATCTGGTGAGAAAGTCAAGTAACATGACTCTTGAAACCAAAACCCATTTAGCTTACCTTGGAATTCAACTTAATAATTAGGGTAAATTTCTCTAACCACCGGAAAATTTCAATCTTTTCTTATACAATTTTCCATCCTTTATTTATACATGAAAGAAAAAAAGTATGTTAATTACATCATGATTATACTGTTTATAAAAAAAGTTTGTTACTAAAAATTATCTCAGTCTTTTTAGCACCCAAACCACTAACTCAATTAAAGAAAAACTTATTCCACTTGTTAAAATTTTTCACATTATTTGAGGGGAGGAAAAAATTACCCAAAATAACAGGAGTAAAATTCCCCATCTTGAAGTAAATTTTTAATTCATGTAATTATTTTTACTGAAAATCAGTAAATATTCTCGGATTTATTTTAGAATAATAAATTAAATAAATTGTAATTATTTTATTATACTATTTTTCCACTAGGGTGTCATTTTTGTTTAAAACTCACAATTTCTTTTTCTCCATGTAAAAAGCATTCATTCTAGATGTAATTACTTGACAAACATAAATTCATAAAAGCTATATTCATCAGATGCACATTTGAAAATCTCTCTTAAAATGAAATACATTCCAACAACGATTCCACTTCATTTATTTAGTCAACTAAATCTTGCAAGTCGTTGTCGTAATATCATAAAGATGATAAAATTAGAAAATATTCTAATAAAGACTGAGAATAATTGAAGCACGAGATAGAGTTGGGTGATAAACTTCGTTAGTGATAGAAGTTGAAATCTGATGGCTATGCATATGTTGAAAGTGCATATTAACAATAAGATAAAGAGAGTAGGACATTGAGAGATAACTTATATCATAGCTGAATAACATATACATGAGAGGTGACAAATTGTCCTTGTCATTTGCAATGATCTCAACTATCACTGTATGGGTTACACACACTCTTTGCTTCTTTCTTGCTTACAAGTATTCATGTCCGAGTGAACCGTACAATAGCTTTTGAAAGTTATGAAGCGGAGGTAATGAAGGTACAAGTGCATGTTCGTTCATGTGTAAATGCATGTTGTTTAATGCAACACAATGTAAAAAAATGGTGTGATGATTTGTCAACTAGCTTATTTCACACTAATTAACTACTCTGCTTTTGTGAAAGGAATAATTACCATAATTATTTTGATAAAATTTTTGGTAACAAGTGAAGCTACACTTCACTACTTTATTATGAATTACATAAAAATATATATAATTATACAATTGACTGTATAATAAATATATTTTTAATTATATTTTTTTTCATATGGGTTATGAGATGCAATATGAAGTTTGGCAATCTTTAAAAGAGGAGACGATATTTGGTGTTATAAAATCTATACCATGAAGATAAATTTCATGACAGGTTGTACCTCATTTTTATAACTATCATAAGCATCTGCAACTGAAATATATATGCACCTATTAAATTTTCCTCATGATTTTCTTACAGTGGATGATATGCAATTTACTATTTCACATAATTTCACTTTGTCTTTCAGTCAAGACTCTCACCACATCTTTTTTTTTTACTTAATGTTTAATTTTTTTTCTGTATTTTTATTATTTCTTTTCTATCTTTCACTTATTTTTATTTATCATAAATAATTATTAATTAAAATTATTCAATATTTAATAATTAGATGAGATGGAATGAAATAATTTTTGTTAAAAAAATTATTATTATTATTATTTCTTAAAAGAAATTCGTATTTTTAATGTCAAGTTGAGAAAGATGTTTGCCGATGTTTCATGAAATTTGAAACAAATCCAAGTTGATTCTGATTTATAAAATTGGAAGGGTTTTCGAGAATATGTTATCGAAGTTGAGATCTTGTCATCAAGATTTGGATCGTGTCATTTTTCTTTATTTAACATGTCACTCGGTGCATGAGAAAGCGATCGATGCTTTTGTTGAAAGCATCACGAGTCTACTAGAAACGAGGAAAAGAGAAAACGGACATGCTGGTTACCAGACTCTAGACTACGATGGACAGGGAAATAAAGTGGTTTCAACTTGAGAGAAAAGCTTCCTCTTCTCTTGATATTTCCAATGGCCAATACGATATATTTCTACTTACTTCTTACAATCTGTTATCAAATAATATTACTTTTTCATAAAATATCTAACTTGAATCCAACTCAGCATTTTTTTTCAATAGATGACGCTATCATCTCATCACCATTCAGGCTTGGATAAATCAAAAAGATTCGTGATAAAATAAAAAGTTTAATCGATTATTTTTTTTTATTTAAGTAGTTAGCACTACTACTAGTCATCATCTGGAATGAAATACAAACTTGGACTTCTTTTTTCGTGATCATTTGTGGGATATTTTTTTTTTTCATAAAAAAACAGGCATTCGATCTATGTAATTTTCTTCTTTCTGATGATCATAAACAATAGTATCGAAATCGTTAGGGAATTCTTTTTCATTATGTCCAGAATAAAAAAAATTTTTTAAATAAATTGTCTTTTTTATTTTACCCTATGAAGACTAAACAACATTCAGGATTAGTGTGAATGAAATTGTCAGTCTTGATAATTAATTGAAAAAATAATTAATTAATTTTTTGTAGTAAATACCTTAGTCGAGATGGTGACCAGCTTTTAGACGTTGAGGTTAATCAGGAGTAAAAGGAATTAAAAGTATCCCTCTATAACTCCTAGACCGATTTTCATGATCAGATTTAATAAAAAAAAATTTTGATTAAATATTTTTCAAATGATTTTTCCTCTAAATGAAGACATTATCACCATATATTTGACTTGTCATCAGTACGATGACAATACAAGAGACATATAATCCAAAAAATCTTCAGTACCTAAATCAATACATCATAAAATCCTTTTGTCTCCACTCGCGAATTATCACGCCATAATTCTTCATTTGAAATTCAAGACTCTTCAAGTTAATGTCGAGTGGAAAGAACCGGAATAATGGAGGCTTAAAGCTAATCAAAAAAAAAAAGTCAACAAAAAGAAAAAAAAAAACGTTAAACGTTAGCATTTTCAACTTCATACAGTCTCTTTATTATGTCATTTCTGCTGAAATGAAATTTGTTATTGACTCAAACTTCTTGCTGGTCTCATATATTCCGTCATTTGAAGGTATACCTTACCGTCATCATAAAAAATATTTCATTTCTATATAAATTAATTATAAAAATATAGAGAAATAAATAAACAACTCAAACTAATTCAAACTCTCACAAAGACAAAATTAGTTGCTACAGGGTTTTTCATTTCTAGAATACATAACATTGTTTCTAGGAAATTACTTCATAGTTTCAAACATGTAAAAGTAATATGTGTTTCAAAGTTAAAATTCAATTAAAGGCTGTGTGTCAAATAATTTTTACTTATTATTATTATTACTATTTTTTGATTGAATAATTTTTGAAATAACTGAATTATTGACAAAATAAAATAGTAAAGTATGTAACAGGTTTGAAAGCTTTCAAGTATTTTAGTGGAATTCTCAAAAATTAGCATTTTATTACTAGTTTTCGAACTCATTATAATAAATTAGCCTTAAATTGAATTTCCAAAGAACTTTTTAAGTGATAAATTTTCAAGTGCAGCTAATGTGAATACTACTACTTTTTGAGAAAGGGGGTGGGGGTGGGGGGTGACGTGAATAGAGGGGTTGTAAATTCTACCTGAAAACAGGTGTAACAAATAGTGTAGCAGTAAAACAAGTGTGTGAGGTGATTTTTCAAATAAACTAATAAATTTTGCTTGAGTAATAAGTCCCCACCGTCTTGACGTAGCTAACGGTCTCGGAAGTAGCTTCGGTGATGGCTCTCCTTAGTCTGGAACGACGAGCTTGCGACAGAGTGCGCGGGCAGAGAACGACGCCCTGTGTACCCCCGGCACCACCAGAACCAGATGCCGAAGCAGCGTTGAAACTCGCCATCAATGGTGGAGGCGTTGTTGCTGTCGTCGTCACCGACGATTTGCACCACCACCACGGAAACTAAGTAGTATGTGTGTTACGCTCACATTATTTTAGCATTTAGAGTTTTTTTTTTCTACTTTTATTTTTTACTTTCTCACTGAGCCTTCTTTGAAAACAACTTATCAATATGTGTTTAGATAAAACTAAATTTGCAAATTTGCAAAAATTATAAAGACATAAATAAATACTTTTTAAATATTTCTAGTCAAAAGAATTTCACACGCAGAAAAATGTATAGTAAAAATTACTCTGAATTTTATAGTAATTTGGTGACACTGTAGGGTGAGGGTAAAAATTACTATATACATGGTAAAAATTACTAAACTGCATAGTAATTTTTAGGGTAAAATTAGAGTAAAAATAACTATGCAGTTTGGTAATTTTAAAAATGTGCACAGTAATTTTTACCATGTATATAGTAATTTTTACCCTCACCCTACAGTGTCACCAAATTACTATAAAATTCAGAGTAATTTTTACTATACATTTCTCTGCGTGCAACTACAAATATTGATAAAAAAATATATATTATTAAAACAATTGTTTGTTTGAAATTATAAAAATTTTGAGGTTAGAGGAAAAATTTACTTCAATTAAAACAACAGGCCAATAAATACAGATAAGAATTAATATTTAAATATTAATACACTGAGAAATAAATAGTTTATGTATTGAGTAAAAAACACTGCAGATTAAAGTGTGTTATTCTTCTAGACACTTTTGAGAGGCTAATTTTTTTCAATGTTAAATACCGTAAACAAACTATAGAATCTTGTAGCCATTTTTAACACACTTTGAGGTGTGGTTAAGATCTATAGTTTGTTTACGGAGTTTAACATTGGAGGTGTGTAGAAATGTTTACTTTAACACACTTTGGACTTTCAATGGAGAGTGTATTAATATCTATTATTTGCTTACAGCATTTGTCATCAAAGACGGATGTGCATGTTTACTGCATCACACTTGAATTTTCGATGTAATCGAACCATGTAAATATGTTATTGATTCTGTTTACAGTGAATATTCATTAGAGGTAAGTAAAATATCTAATCAATATTCAATTATTCAAGTATTTAAATGATGTAAAATAGATGATTTACTTAATAATGTTATTTATTTCTCAGTGTATAAAATATAACAAACTAATTTAAAGCTATTTTTAGATACATCATTCTTTCCTCAAGTAATCGACTTGAACAAAAGAATAAAAGTTGATCAAAAGACTCATGAAATAATCAGCAAAAAGTGAGAAAACGATAATATACTTTCCTACTAGACTACTCTGTATCTAATTCTACTTTTAATTTTATGATAGGTTAGGTTTTCTGATTGGTTTTAGAAAAGTGATCTCCATGACTACACAGTTTCTAGATTCGTAGAAACATCAGATTGATTGTTAATTATCAAGTCAACTGCGGCTATCAAGTGAGTGGGTTTTAATGTAAATAGTGAAAATCGGATAGTAAAATAACGATGTGATACGGGCAAATTAATCGTAGGTAAGGTTTACGTATAAGTTTACATTACGTTAGGGACCACTGGATTCGATAACGATTATGTACTTGGGAATCTCTACCAGAGAATAAACGGTCGACTAAAAGCATATAGCCTATAGGATATTTGCTCTCGTGTCCTTGGATGCTCTTTGAGACATTTTCTCATTATTCCTCACGTCCAAATCGATCGCAGACACCGATCATGTTTTCATGACATTCTAGACATTAGGAATTTTTCTTTTGTCATTTATTGTTTGCTGTGCTCGTGTTATTCTCTCTATCGATTTCTATAATGAGTCTATTTTAGTAAAAAATGACCTTTTCATGTATCATATTAATATTAATGTCATTTTCGTTTTATTCTGATTTTATTATAATTATAAATGTATTCATATTTATTTTTAAAAATTATTACACCTGTGTAAAATATAAATGAAACATTTCAATATCATTTTTGACAGTAACATAACTGATCGATACAGAAATGTACAATGTTGGTAATGTACATGTCAAAAGATATTTATATTTATGAATAATTGATTTATTGTTCATGCTACTATTGCATGTTTTTTGTTTAATGTCTATCATTATTTTAAATTAAAATTATCATTATTTGACCATATTTTTTTTTTCGTCAATGAATTAGTAATAATTTAATTAATTGTTTGAAACAGACTTATAATTACATCATTTTAGTGAATGGAAAATTTCCGTCATATAACGGCTATCATGAATTTTTGAAATTAATGAATAGATCGTTTCTTATCATTCATGATAAAATAATATTATTACTTTGACAATTTATTTTGAATATTATTTAATAAAATTTAATTGTCAATGATTAATAATTATTTAAATAAATAAATTTTCCGGCAATAGTCATTGAATGTAAATGAATTTTTAAGAAAGAATCTCAGTATTAGATTGAACAGATAAAGAATGATTAAAAGAAATATTTATTGGCAAGGAATGTTTGAAAGAATTATTTTAGGTCGTTAAGTGGTACGACAAAAACTAATAGCACGCCAATAAAACAACAGAACAAAAAATGGTTAAAATTCAACCAATCAACTCTTTGTTACTAGTTGAATCGAAAACATTTTTTTTTCCTTTTCACTTTTAAATAAATATTTATTGAACCAGTGAGTTACAATTCAAGACTATTGAATATTTATGGCTACTGATGAAATATTGTGTGAACATTCTATACAATTAACAAACTTTTTCATATACTATTTTACTGTTAAAAATTTTTAACAATCTTTTTCACATAATGTACTCGTTAATCAGTCATTCATAAAAGTGTGAATGAATAAACTACCATTCAACTAGATTGATTGATTTAACTATGAATGAATTAACCATGTATTTACTATAGAAAATTCATTGAATAGAACATTTGGATTAAAATTGAAATACAGAAATAAATATTTATAACATTGAAAGAGGAAATTGATCAAATGTTTATGAATACTTATTTTATTATAAAAGACAATTAATTGTGAGACATAAAAATCTAAACATATCCTGAGATAAATTTTTTTTACAAAATCGAGGACGAAAAAATAAAGAAAAATGTTGATAGAAAATTACACCACAATTTGGAGTAAAGTTAGAACAAAAATTTTACGTTTTTAATTTTTACATACGATAAAGATAAAATAAAATTTAAAGATAAAAGATAAAGATAAAATATTACTCTCGTTTTCATTCTTGTTCAACTCAATAATATAAAAAAATTCACCCCAAGTTTCGGAGTAAAATTTTACCCATTAATTCTCTCTAGTGCATTCACTGTTTTTACACAGAGTAAAAAAATATTTGGATGTAAAATATTTTCTCAGTAGATTATTACATTTATCTCAATGTCATTTTTACCCCTAACAGATAAAAATTTACTCTTTTATCTAAGACCATCATTTGTTTGCTGATTGGGTAAAAAAATTCCTCTCAGTTCATATGTACTATCACGGTTTTTGTTCATTAAATTTTTAAGTAAGGTATAATTTGAAATTAGTTTCAATTATATCCAATAGAGCTTTTCAATAAAACGGAAATAAAATAAGTGTTAATGAATAAATTGAATGCATTAACAATTAAAAATTTTTATCAGCTTAGAAATTCTAGTTATTATTCTAATACTTTGGCGAAAAGCCAAGGCTTATACGCGAAAGATTGGCCTTATCTACCTAAATGACTGTGGCCTGCTTGCTCTGCTATATGTCTACCCTTGAACCCTTTCTATCCCAACTAACGATCCTTTTTCATCTTTATTACTTTTACTATTCATTGAGAATAGATAAGTTACTTTATAGTTAGTTATCAGAACATTTTAGCATGTCATTAGTTCTGCTATCACTATTCATTGCATGATCTACAATGAAACTGACTAAACCGAACAGATTAAATTCATTTTTATGTCAAAAAAACTGTCTTTTATTAGATGTGATGTTATTTGAAGTGGAAAAAAATTAAAGGAGAAATATTTTTAAAGGGGTTTGATTCTAAGTTCAAATAATAAAAAAAAAATTATTTTATAAATAAATCCTTGTTTTATTTTACGTAGTAGTTCTTAAGTTATGTTTCATATTTTTTTTTGTATTTTTCTTTTCTTAGTCTAGACCTCACTTATTGTTATGTAATTTTACTCCTTAAAGGTGTCAATACAGGGGAACTTTGATAGAGAAATTAAAAATGTTTGATTTATATAAAAAAACAATAAAAAAATTTATTAAATAAAAATTATTTAGAAAAAAATCTTTAAAAAATAGAATTGTATCTTTGAAATTTACTTAAGATATAATTATTTATTACTGATAAAAAAAATTGAATCGTAAGATTCTCAATGTGAAATTGATTAAAAAATTGTAATATTAGTTGTACTAAATAATATTTAAATTGTTAAACATGACGAACAGGAATGAAAGTAAAACATAAATAATAAACTGGAATTTGATGCATTTTATATGCTCACATGCATTGAATTATTGGTTATATTCGGGGTAAAGGATTGGAAACTATTGGGATAATTTGGCAATGCAATCGGAGGTTCATCGAGAAGTGAATCAACATTTATTAATCCCTAGCGTACCAAGAACATTTCCCCTGTGAAATATTCATGATTGTTCGAACGAATAAAAACAACTGGTCAATAAATATTTGCTATAGGGAGGGAAGTAGAAAATGACAGCAACAACGGAAAAAAAGAAATAAAAGAGTGGATGTGTTAGATAGTGCAGCAGATGATGATGATAAGTTTGAAGAAAATATTGAAATTAGTAATACTTTAGTTGACTGAGAATTCTTTCATTTATCAAACAATCCTTTTTTTTTCTTTTTTCGGAATAACATTCGATTAATTTAACTTTTTATTTTTCATGATTGCATTTTTTTTTCTGTGTTTACTGGAAATTTAATGATAACTATTGATTTTCAGATCATTTGAACATCACTTATAGAGCAAAGTTCATTCTATCTTTTTTGCTATATTTACTGAGAGAATTTTTCGACTCTTAAAAAAATGATTGATCCACCTTTCACGACGTTTAAAAATTGTTCATCTGGAAGGGAAATTCATCCTTAATGGTGGAGACCTTCAATTGAGAGGCCTAAGAAGGTGATTGAAAAGTCCTTTAAAATATAATAGGTAGAAAAGTGGTCCAAAATGAAGGAAAAAATCATATTGACAAAAAAGCTAAGTACAGAAAAAAATTTATGAGTGTGAATAAAAAAAAAAGTATCAAAGATAATTATCAGAAGATATTTCAAGTTTTTTTTTTTGGAAATGTCTTTGTCATTTTGACAGATGTTAGATAAGTGGATGAATAAATGGAAGAATGAAATCAATTTGGCCATTAAAATAATATTAGTATGAAAAAAATATCCTAGAGTGACCTTACCCTACACCTTCAGGGAAAAAGTTAAGTAATTTTTGATGTTTTTAGTTAGTTCAACTTATAATGAATATATTTTAACTAAGATATAACACTAACTTCACTTATCAAACTTTTTTTTGTTTTTTAATTTCAAAACAATATTATTATAAAAGTATTTTTATTAAAATTTCTGCCAACTTATCCTGAATGAAAATTAATGCAAAATCTGACAACAATTTAATTCTAAATAATTCAACTCAATAGAATTTCAATAATTCTGAATTAATTATAACTATTGATTATTTTAATTCAATATCTATTCATCAGTGCGAATCAGGATTATCTGAGTGGGATAGTTTTTTTTTTTTAAGAAAATCAAAAAAAATTAGTTCAAGTATTTAGTAAACTTAATCAAAGTAGATTAAATGGAATTAGTAAGAGGGCAAAGCATTTATCATTTTTCTCGGTTCAGTTATTTCCAATCTGTTGAGAATTCATTTAATTTAATTCATTAGACCGAATCAATTAAATCTACGATTTCAATTCAAGTAAATCCAATTATTTTTTTTTTTCGTCCAATTGATTCACATTTTTCTCTAGGACTGAATAAAAAATGAGAAGAATTCTTCAAGTATCTAAGGCTGTTGTAAATATCTAGGAACTCAAGATTTATTTGTCCTGTCATCTGCATTCAAGTTAAAATACAATTTAGCAGCGCTAGTAATAAATTCTCAATGTTTTATTGTTCTGTCTTGGTATTTCCTCTCATGATAATACAATGATGCTATTTCCTCGACCTATTTATCGACAGTTGTTTCTCCTGTCACTCACATGTCGGTAAATTACTTACTGGGTTATTGAAATTCTCTAATGTCGATATAGTAGATTGCTAAGAAAAAAAATTGAAATAATTCGGACAATTATCATGAATGGTCTGACGAAACTAAGGTAATTCTACTTGGAAATACTTTTTATATACCAATAGAGATACTATTAGAGTTAATTGGATTCTATCGAACCTAGGTATTTCCGGATTTTATTCAACAGCCAATCTCGTTGATCTATTCAAAGAATTACTAAAAAGAGATTTTAATAAAATTAGTTTTAAATTACTTCAATTCTATGCAATAAAAAAAAGAAATGAAATTATTCCGCTGAATAGTTTAAGTTACTAATTTTACTAATAATTTCAACTGTCTTGTTTGAGCAAGAGATATTTTCTTTAGATTATTTTTAAGCAATATTAGAATCAATTTTCATTTAACAAACATTCTATATTTCACTGAACGTGAATTCTGTCAATAAATCCTATTCCCATTGTCTATGAATTTTCTATTGTCAACCACAATTTACGTATTGCTTTTGTTATCGTACGAATGTTAGAATCAATTGAAAAAAAAGTTCATTTTGATTGTCTTTTCATAAGTAAATTAAACACTAAATTATTTCTAAATAATTATTCTTGGGTTTATAATATGGCTTAAATTTTTTATATCAAAGTGTCTTTAATTTTACAATGTTTCAATCAATCGTGTAAAATAGGTTGGTTATATCGATATGGTTATGAAAATAATAACATATCATAAATATTTATTACAAATTCAGCTACGTGGTATAAATTTAATGATAATGGTTGTGAATATCATACTAATATAATTAATTACTAATAATTTATCAGAGTGAGTAAAACAACTTTTCTATATAGCTATAATTTTCTTTTTGCTAAGCTTGATAAAAATACTACTGGATATTGAACTACTGAATTTTATATAATAACATCTATCTACATTTATTACAATTTCTCAATTTTTACCAGTTATTAAATATTAATAATCGGTAAAAATGATCGAGTATCGGTTTATCCTAGTGTTTTTAATTTTATTAAAATATTAAATTTAAAAAAAGAAAATTTCTTTTCGTGTATTTTTATCTTTTTATACAAATTTATATTTAATTGAATGTATATTATATAAAAGACACAATAATTTTAATGTATATAACTACTACGAAATGGTTGCTTATATTCATTAAATAGATTGACATTTATGATGAGAATAAACTTTTATTTAAATTGAAAAGGCAAGAATTGATAGAAATAGATAATTGTATAGAATACTCATTGTTATCATATTTTAAAATAACTTGAGGTCAATTATTCTTCGTTTCTTCAACGAACTAAAAATATTCATTTCTGTGATTTCAATATAAGTTGAATGAGTGAAGAAATATAAATAAAAAAAAAAAGTTTACCTTAAACTAGAAAACTAGTTAAGATTCTTAGTTATGTTAGTAAGTAAGCTACAACTGAGCTTGCAACTTATCCTATCATTCTGGAATTTAATTTCAGTAAGTGAGTCCTCTAAGCCACATTAAGTGCATTGGGGAGTCTTTTACCAGGCGGAAACGATGTTCCCTCAGAAAACGGAAGTACATCAAGTACATTTCTCGTTTTCAGACATCTTTCAATGCGCCCTATTTACTAATAGACATAAAGTAAGTGAATCATGAAGAAGAAGAGGAAAAAAAAAAGAAATGAAAAGTAACTTTTTTTTTTTTTTTTAATAAACTAAATAGAAATAATTTGATATTTACTGAAAATGGAAAAATAATTCCAACAAATTATAAAATACATTTAGGTAAGTACGATAGAATACCTAAGTATGACATTTCAACATCTGCTTATATTTAAAATGACTGAAATAAATTGGTAAAGAAAAGCTAAGAAATAAATCCTAACAAAGTCTTCAATGGTTTCTTGTATCATTTTTGTTAATTGCAGACCAAGTACAAGGAATAAAATTTCTTATTACGCTTGAAATTACAGAGAAAAACGTCGTCACGTTCTCCAGTGTCATCATTCATTTGGTTAATCTTATAATTAACACAATTTATTCTAGAAGTAATCAACCAGATTAAGGTGTGCAATTTAATTATTCAATAGCTAGAAACTTATAAATCTACGACCATTTATCACTTTTTGAAGTAATATATTGAAAGTAAGTTATCGGTCACGAGAGAATATCTTGGAAAGGATAACTTATCACGGAGATTGTAAAACCCTTGATAGTAATCCAGGTATCAGTTTCAAATGCCAGTTGACTCGAAAATAGTTATAATGAGTTTCAAGATAAGATTTAAATCGACTGGTTCATAATACAAATGATGTGAATTGTAATAATAGGTGGTATATTTTGTACATGATATGAAGGAATTGAAAAATGGGTTGAAAAAAAAGACTACTTTTAATAAATGAAGTGGAGATGATACTTTACCTGTCGAAATTGTCGAATTCCTCCATTGATCCTGAGGGAATCCGCCGCAATTCCAGCAATACCATCACCTGGTTCCCGGAGTTGACGTAGAGAGGCGCTAGGGGCTGTTCCAGCATGTACAGGACAGCAACATCCAGAACAACAACATGCAGTTCCTTCTGGTTGTGAACTTTGTCTTATTATTCGAGTACTTGGTGATGTTGTTACAAGTACTGGAGGTGGTGGTGCTTGACATGGACAACAGTGATGGCCACTTCTCACACTTTCCCTGCAAATAAAATTAGCAAATTAATAAAATTAAATTTATATACTTAGCTTTGAAGGATTTAAATATTTTTTTGGTCATGATAGAGACCGTAAGAGATATCTACACTCCCTCATCTGACATGGGAAGTATCAGGCTGGTGTTGACTAGACAGCAATATCATTCATCATCAATCTAATGATTTGCCTAAAACTAAAGGAAAATAGCATTCATCCTGTTGGTTAGAAGAATACAAAGGCTTATCACATATCATTCATGTTAACTCTATCATTTTTATTCTCCCATATTATTCTTAATCAATCATAAAATCATACATTGGTTCAGGATGAAGACTTATTGCTTAACATGGCAAAAAAAAGTAAGCACATTACATTTGGATCTATCTATACAATAAAGTATTATTCATGCATCAATAACATGCATATACAAATAATATTAAATAAGATAATATTGTGAGAATACGATTCTATGATTAAAGATGATCTTGGTCGTCATTTAGACTTGGTACACATTTTTGTACAGGCCTACAAGAAGCTGTTTTAGATGTGATTGTAAATGGGATTAATTTCAGAAGGTACCAATGACGGAAATTTACTTATCGTTGAACTACTTCTTAATAACGGTCGATATAAGTATCTTTCTTTTTATTAGAGTTCTATAGAATGCAACAGGTCTGAGCACTTTTCTAAATTGCTTCTCGTTTAAACGGTCACGACCTTTAGTCTCGAAGTTCTGATGTTGAGAATTGTTATCAGTATTACTAAATGGTATTGAAAAAGTAGTTTCATATGTTTCCTGTCTCAATGACAATATCTCTCTCTCTTGAATTGCTTGAATAATCGGTGATCTTGAAAGTTTTATCTTACTTATTAAGAATTGAAGAAAAAAATGGATCATCTTCAATGTTAAATTTCAATAATTCTTATCGACAATTCAGGAAATAAAATTGATTTCCCGGTGGATGTAGGAATGCTTTATAGTATCTATGATCTTCCAGAGAGTGCATAACTCTTCATATCTCTCGCAGGAGTATAGTCACACTCATGAATACCTAATCCAATTTCTTGTTTATCTAACTCAAGATCTTTGCTTTTTTTTATGTGATATTTAAACTGAAAAAATTTTCACGTGAAAGTTACTCTACTATTTCACGTAAGTCTAGGACATAACGGAAATGAAGAAAAAATTTCTCGTCTCGTAAGTAATTTTTATAGACCTTTTATATCACAATTACGTCGTTTGAATGTAAATTTTACTACCCATAGGGACTCATATCTACTACTCAGGTTCACAGTTGAAAATTTTGTATTAAAATCAACACAGTCGACATGTCTGGTCCATTCCAATTTTTGTATTTATTTAATAAAAAGTATTTATTGTGTTTAGTGGTTGAAGTTTAAAAGGGTTAAGTTTGAAATTAGTTCACTCTGCTAGGAATTCAAAGCAAGCAAATAATTTCCAGTACACATGGCTGTTTCAACTGATTAATAAAGGGTTTTACTTTAATTTTTTATTACATATCAACATGTTTGTTATCTAAAATCAATTAGCCATTAAACTTTCATGGATGCTTTCAATCATCGATCAATAAATGCAATCAGTCGGTGGTAGTGCATTTCCGTTTAGTTTCCTAATTTGACAGAGAGTCTAGGTGAATAACGTTAATGGAGTCTCCAACATGGATGTTTTAAGTTATCAAACAAAAAAAGTTTCCCTCTTTTCAAAGCTCAGAATGACCTTTTACAGATAACCTTTTAATTCTCTGGTTGATCTGAGTTTTTCCAACTATTCTCTTCTTTTTAATTTTTATTTACACTGAAATAATGTTCATTTATTTAGTTTATACAACATCTTAAAGTATTGATAAAATACTTAACTTTGAATTCATGACGTGAGCAATATCAATGGAATATTTTTCGTGTCATATTATTTGTTCGATATTGATTCTTTCTAATCAATTATTCATATGTCTCATGATTTTCATCGCTTGGAGTCGTTTAAATCGTTTTATTCCAATTTTTAATACTACTAAAAACTTACTAAGTGTACTTAAAAGTCATTCAAAACGAAATACACTTCGAAAAGAAATGTCTGCAATAATTTTACGAGTGACCTAAGGACGTTCAAACTCAGTTTAGATTTTATATTTATTGAAAGCAGTAGAAGTTCACTGTAAATCTCGACTTTCGGAAGTGTATTATTTTAACATGGCTAAAGCGTGTAAATACGACGTCACTTGTTTTATTAGCATTGTTCAAGTGAAAGATACAGATGTCTACTATGATATCTATATGATGTAGAGGTTCTCCAACCTTTCAGTTGGTTGTGATAAGCTTATAAACAATTAAACTCAATTTTTTTGTTTACTTTTTTTTTTAATTGAAATTTACTGTTTATTCTTAACAAACTTATGGTAAAGGGTTTTTTAAAAATTGAAGGGTGATCAGCTAGACGGATCTCAGCGATATAAATTTTTGAATTAGTAGTACTTCTGCCATCGAAGTGGGGACAAGCAATTCAAGTCAGACGGTCACAGAATGAAGAAGTTAAACTTCTTAAATTTAAAAAGTCCCTTTTCCAAAAAAACAAATTGGGGCTTTTTATGTGAGTCATAAAATATTGAAGAGTTTCATCCAACTAATATTCATGCTGTGTGACTAGAATATAAATTTTTCTTAAAGTAATAACTTAAATGCTCACCTTGATACACTTCGTGCCAGATGAAGCGCAGAAGAAGGCGCAAGGGAATCACGTCTATCGCATCGACATCGGTTATGTTGATGGGATGGTTGCCTGGAGCGATAAAGAGTAGTAGTTGGATGGTGAGATTGTTGTTGATGTTGTGGCTCGCCATCGAGTCTGCAGTGCAACTCAATATCTGGAACGGATCTTGTTGATGGGTCTTCATTGGTTGCACTTTCTTCAGAACCACCAAGACCGGATGCAGAAAGTTGGGGTGATGCAACTAAAAAAGTTGCTCTGTCTTGACGTGTTAAGACTGGTTTACCCTGAGATCCTGAAGAAACTACAACTGGAGGAGGGGCTCGACTGAGCAACGCTGCTGTTTCTTCACTACTTCCAAAGTCACCACTATTTCCACCCTCCTGCGATACAGCATTTCCGCTGGCATTCATGGCTTCTTAGACACCCGCTTCCGCTTCTTTAATCAGTCACGTCGCCATTGTCTGTAACAGGATACGAGATACGAAATTCTTAGTATTAATGGATTTAGAGATAGTAATTTAATAGATAATTATTTATTAACATTTCGAAATATAGAAAGGATAAAAAATTCAGTACTTCTAAGATCAAAAATAAACATAATTGAAATTTTTCTAGCTATTTCTGGATGTCAATAAAACGTCGCGCCAAGTACACGTCGCAAATGACTATGACAAATAATTTCTATGTGATAAAAGTTATCATTTGCTCATTTTTTAAATGACAAAAATTGTCGAAATCTCGTTGAATGCCAATCGTAAATATTTAATTCAAAGTTTCATGGAAGTTTTTTTTTGTACAATTGTTGATTTGTCGAAAAAAAATTTTATTAGACTGAACCCAAATTAGTCCTACCTCTTCCAAGCATTCTCTAGATTCACCTGACTTCATGCTTAAATTGGACCAAGTGTATTGTTTCTCATTTTCAAATAAAACTGTAGATGCAATCATATTCTATGAAATATTAGTTTAAAAATCGATAGAATTTAATCGATCTTAATATTATTTACGTAAATTTCTCTTTATTCTTCAATTTAAATAAAACTTAAATGAATAGAAAACATTAAACATATACACTCAGGGCAGATTTGTACAGTAAATGCGTATAATCCACAGACTAATATGTAAATTCCTCATCAGCTTGACAAACACAGAGACGTTATGTTTAAAATTAGATGCAGTTTGTGCGACTAAAAGAGTGGAGAGGAAGAGCAAGAAAATTAATGCGCCGTACACAGTACAAACTAAAATACAAATAACCATGAGAGTATTATATCTCATGTACTATTCAGATAAAATTTTTTTCCAACTAATTAATTAAAAGTGCATTGATAATAAATATCACCGGTATTTTCATTTATATTAAAAATGATAAATCTCAAATAAACGAAATTATTATCTCATAAAATGAATCATAGATAAAGATTTATATCAAGTAACTATTAAATTTTATCATTTTCATTCAAAAATACTCATTACTAAGTCATTGATCGATGTTGCCAAACAAAGGAAAAAGATGGAATTGAAGTTGAAAGCCTAATGCTTGCAAACTTTTAGAATCGATAAAGAATAGAAGAAAGTTAAGTGCTTATCGAGTTACGTTCGACAGCTGTAGAAATTGGTGGCAAAGTTAATTCCGATAAAGAGTATGAAAGAACATATGGATAGTGCTGGTGGTAGGACAGAGAGAAGGTTTAAATAGGTTATATGACGCCCTACATAAGGGAGATAAATCAAGCTTTCGTTGTACATTGATAGATCACTTCATAAAACGCCTACATTCGACCTCTTACTAAAGCAAACAGGTAAACCTGATTGTATTCCGTACAAAAGCAAAAGAGTGAGTGTTTGATTCAAAGTCTTTCATCAAACCCGTACGTGCGGAAATTTATCAAAGTTCACTCGGTCACACGCGTGAATTCACCACGAATCATCTAACACTCTATTTAAAAGCTATAGATAGTGCAATTCTTTGATAAAAAAATGTATTGAATACATTTCAATAGTAAATCTCTCCAATTCTAATGGAAATAGTGGTTACGTATACTCTAGAATCAACTATTTGTTTATGATAGATTTAAAAAGGTATACGTTGCTATAAAGGAAGGAAATTTTCCATAATTAAAAGAAAACTGAGCAAAAAATAGAACATAAGTAAGTCATAGAACTTTGAAGCCATAGTGAACCGTTCAATAAAATCTTTTTAAGCTCAGAATTAAAGTAGATCAACTTTGTTCATATTTGTACTTATTTATAGGCATTAAAAATTATATTATAATGAGATAAAAGGAAAAATAGTTTTCCTGTGAAGCTTGTAAAAATGGGGTTATTTTTATGCATTTATTAGTAGGAGTATTATTTATGTGTTGATAGCGACATAGACGACATAACTACACTCGGACTAGTCACTGGTTAACGTAATTATGACCACTGTCCAGTGTCTACTGTCTCTATTATAGTAGACTACTAGCTTAAGGCTAATCATTGTGCTGACAAGAGCATTGAATGACGTTGAAGTATTGAGTGATCACCGAAAATGATTGAAGAGAGTGTAAAAGACATAATCAATAATTTTATTTATCATTGTAACTCTGAATAATTAATAAATTTAATTTATGTCTGTTTTAAACTTAGATACATAAATAAATATTATTTGCTATAATTTAAAATGTTTCTTGTACTACTTGTTCATTAGTAGTTTCCAATCATCTGTTGGATTTTACTAATTAGCTACAGAAATTATTTACTGTTGAAATGTTTGTACAAAAGCCATTGTTTTCTATAATTTAATTCTAGTTTTACCTATCAGCTTATTGCATAATAATGAGTCATATAGAATAATCTTGACTTCTGACAACTAAGAAAATAGATTACTTCAATTATTATACCCAACATGGCTCTAAAATACAATAGACTCTAATAAATCTCTTTGAATAATAATTACAACATTTCTACAAGCTCTAAGCAATAAGATCTTGTGAGAATCATTTTGATTAAAGCCTCCTAGTGGCAGCTAGTGAAACTATCGTGCCGGAGTACAGTATCAGACATTAAAACTTTGTCAATTTTGTACACGAAATTCTCATGTATAACCTTTAAAAAATGGAACAGCATTAATGTCTGATACTGTACCATGAAGCTACGTATTTCATAAATAATTACTAGATGGCGTTGGTCTTATTTTCTTTTTTTAAACCACGAGAGTGCAAATCAAATGCTAAATAATTTGAAAATTTAATCTAAAACGTTATAGTGACTGTTATTTAAAAATATACATGTTTACGACGTGGATTGAATTTATAGTAAGGACGCTTGGATAATTAAAGAGGGTATTGATTCAGAATAAGTAAAAACGAAAGTCAATCGATATTTCATTAACCACGTTTTCACCGATGACATATGTAAGCTATAGAGTGTGTGCCTGATAATACATTCATGTGGCTATAGCTTGCATAAGGACACACATGCGTACTAAGAACCTACATATAATGAATGAATAAATTGAATAGTGTGGTTTGTTAATAAGCAAAGTGTATTGTTCTCAATTTCAATGTATAAAATTTCAAGGTAATATTATTAACAAGGTAGTATTTATTATTTATTCTAGATAAATATATATTTGTGTCCAATAATTGCCATTTTTCTTTTTTTAATACTCAAGTCTTGACAGATATGAAAAATAAATGAAAAACTAGGGTTAATCATGATAAATCGTCAGACAAATAAACCTTTCTTAGAAAATACCGTGAAAAATTGGCTCAAGTCCTTCAACTAATCAAAATAATCAGCTAAAAGAAGGGAGCTACCCTTATTTTTATTTCTTTATCTATCGAAAGATTAAGAAATAATATTGGAAGGTATTTTTTTTTAAGAAAGTAAGAGTTATTTATAATCATTTAATTATTGATTGGTGGGGAATCAATAAAATTTATGTTGCCAAAATAACACTTTGTAGGATGAAAAATTAAATTTATAATTTTTAAGATAAGAAAAAAAGAAATATTTTCAAAATAATATCAAAAAAATCAATAAACTACTCTTTTAATTAATAAAATAACGTAATTAATTAATATTGTCTACTACAAATTAATTGTTACGAATGTAAAAGAAAAAATTTTAATTCAGAGTAAAGCAGTGAAGTATTCAAAACTTTTTCCACAATATAACTCTTTTGTAATGAAGTAAATTGTATTCCAAAGGATGTCAATAAAGTAACAATGTTCTTCAGCTTGAATTTTTTTACTGAATGTTTGTTAAAGCGTAGACAATAAATGCATTGCTTTATTCCGATTGAGAGCTTTAAAATTATTTATAAAATAATAAAAAATTTTGCTATAAACTCTTGATAGGTTCATTTAGTATTGTTTTTTTTTTTACTTTCGTAAAATTTATAGAAAGCAACATTTACAGTAGGAGAGCAATTTCCAGTCAAACTACAATATCTTTCAGAGTTTACTGACAATAAAACTTTATAGTAGTTATAGAAAGTTAATTGTTTGTAAATGAATAGTTTGCAACTCCTTGTACAGTGAATGGCAAGCTTTTATTTCAAGTTTCATTTGTTCTATATTTATTGCCTATTAATAAAAAAAAAACAATCTCAAATTACTTTGAAGAGAAAAAATATAAAATATCTAATGGTTTGTTAAAAGTATAAAGTTGCTAAATTTTATTTATGTATTTATAATAATATATTGTTATTAGTCGGAATCGATTTGAATCCTAGGCTATAATAATAAATTCTCATGTGATGTTTAGTTTTTTTTACAAAAAGATAAAACCTTTTTATTAATGACTAGCAACCGCTTGAGGCTTCGCTTGCTTTTGTTCAAAAAATTCTCAACCGACTGTTTTTATTATATGATTTGTTTGACTTTTATCATCACTAATGTACTGCCTTTAAATAAAATATGATTATACATCAAAAAGCAATTGCTTCCTGAATGTGTAAAAATCGTAAAAATGAAACTAGCATTTACGAAGATGAATGAATAAATTTATTTAATACAAAACATTATTATTGTTTAAAATCGTTAACATAAATGTTTGAAAAAAAATATTAAAAAAGCAACGAAACGTATTATATAATTTTTTTTCATATATTTAAAAAAATAGTGATCTAAAAATCATCTGGTGCATATTTGGTACATAAAATGGCATACAATTGGAGCAGGTGATCTAAAATTTTTATTCAAATTGAATCGATTTTCTAACAACGAAATACAGTGATTCGATTTGAATTCTGATACTTTACATATAATGCAAACAATGTTTTTATTAGCAAGTTTAAATAAATTCTCTTGGATATTATACTGAGTTGGTTTAAAATATCTTAAATGCAAATGTGTCTAATTATATCTTTATTTTCGATTGCACTACTTAGCATGCTTGTCAAGAATAGGGGTGGAAAAAATTCGGAACTTTAGAATATAGAAAAAATTCTTCCTCTATATATCATGGACTT